AACTTACCATAAGTGTATAATGAGTATAATGATTCCAAGATCATTTTTCCAACAACCATCATTATCAAGTGTATCATGGAAGTTATGGGAAAATCACGATATAATGCAACCATTGTTATGGGAAAACTACCTGATTTTTCACACAATATCGTAATAACAATGTAATATATACCTGTGGAAAAATTGCGATGATTGTTTTTTTTGTCCCATGATCTACCACCTTTATATTCCCATTATTGTGGGCAATATTATATTCCCAGTGTTATAAGTAGCAAAATGCAATGGACCACAATGGGAATATCCATATATGAATATATAACAACCACAATTAAGAAGATAATGGGATATAGCATATGTGATATATATATATACTATATATACATATATATATATACTTACATATGTAGAGATCCAACACCATGATTTGGGATTGTCGGAAAATGATTTTTTTAACCTTCGAGATGACAGATACCAATCCACCATGGGAAAACATGAATTCACATCATCACATTTGAGTGGATGCAGTGGCAACAGGTCCGTTCCAAACATGGCGTTTTGTAGGAATACAGGGGAGATCCAAATGATAAAAACTATGGAAAATCACAGTAAACTATGGAAACACTTAGTCAGTTGGTGATTTTGAAATTGTTTTTTGCTTTTATAGGATTACACTCTGGTAAACATACAAAAAACTATGGAAAATCACAAAATTTAATTAATAGGTAAATCAACTATAAATGGGCAATTTTCCAATAATTAGCTATGTCAATGTCAAATTACCAGAGGTTAGCTGGGATCTTGGCATTTGGTATCAGATGATCAGAACATGTAAAAATCAGTTCATCGTTTTTTTTTATACAAGCAGTTTGAATGTCAAGTTCCCTCTGGTAGTCAAACATAACCCATAGGATCCATGGTGGTGCTATATATGGTAACATTTACCATCAATATACCCCCAATGTTAGCATATAGAGCAGCACCATGGATCCGTCATGGGTAATGTGCTGCACCATAATAAAAAAAAACAGTAGTTACTCAGTAGTTCAATGACTTTCCCAGCCAAAAACCATCCGTTTAGATATCGGGATTTCCCAGCCAAAAACCTCTTTTGGGACAGGATGACCAGTGGTCCAGTGGTCCTTTGAAGTATTTTTGCTGGCCGATTTCTGGTCAAAGCCTTGTCCATTCATTGATTTACCCTCTGGTAAATTAACAGTTTGACCCTGAAAATCACCAATTGTTAGTGGAAACTAATCTTCCAACCCCGATGACTGCCAGGGTCTATGTTAATTTACTGGAAGGTAAACTATGTGCTGATTTACCACCCATCTGCCTAGGAACTGTCACCCAATGCCGGTGAAAACCGGTCCTTTGACATGTCTCAAGGTGCCAGACGGCCAGAGGGCTATGTTTATGGAAAAGAACACGTCATTGATATATGCAAAAAAATACGGATATATATATATACACACATATGTGTATATATATATACATGTATACATATATATATATTGACATTTGTGAAACAATGCCCTCGTGATAAAGCTGTGATCATTTTTAGCATTGGATAAACCCCTTCTCGCGGTTTTGCTCTTTGAGTTTGGAGGATGACTGCTATCCCATGTCACCACTGTCACTTAGCATCCGTCAATGTATTCAATTCCAAACTTCAACAGATTATACCAGTGCTAGTCCTGAACTCTTGCTGATGATTGGCCTGAAATTTCGCACAATCCAACATTGGAATGAACTTTGTTCAATCTACCGGCAAATCCAGATGGTAATCAAAGATGGCAAGCAAGAAAATCACCCTAAACTCTAAAAAATGGAGGTTTATAGCTGGGAAAATCTCGGTCAACGGAGGATTTTCCAGCCATGGCCACTTGTCTGCCGGGTCGTTGGGCTGTTGGGCCGTTCGCCGTTTTGTTCGCCGCAGATTCCAGCCTGGTGATCACGGACTTTTTCTCAGGCATCTTATCAGGCAGGGATGGCAGGGACGGCGATGAAAAAGACTGGGTAAACCTTGCGTTGTTTTTTTTCATGGTTAACTCTCACATGTTTGCTTGATTCAAGATGTGTGTGGTTGAATGTGAAAAATTACCACATTGAAAATCAGATTCAAACCAAAACCTTTTTATGTTTAACCGACTACAGTGGACAATTTGTTGCTTTATTGTGTTGCTTTACATTTTTTGCTTTGATTCAAAATACCCGACTAAAACTCACTCAAAATTGGCAGGTTTGGCTGATTTGGAAGTCCCTCATTCAAAGAAACACAAATTTGTAAGTAAGGGGTTATTACTCACAAAAGCCAACAACGAGTCACTATTTTTTAAACAACATACAATCATTATCAATCATTATAGTCTATCTTATCCGATTGTGTAGATTATGTCCCCACAATTATCTCATACAATATCCTATAGTTTCCACATTTTTTATTTTGAATCCATCCGCATTTTTAGATATTATGGATGGAAGAAATCCTGCACCTGTCAGTAACTCTTGGTAACTATGAAACTGTAAATAATGGGGCTAAAACGGGACTCTACCAACTGGTGCAGGATTTCTGCCATCAGTATGTTCCATATTATATCACATATGCTTCCCATATGTTGCCCTTGTCGCTGCGAGCTATCCATACATATTCCCATACACATTCCAATATTTTCCCACATATTTTCCCACATATTTTCCCACCTGGTTGGTGGTTTCAACACTTTTTATTTTCCATCAAAATTATATGGGATAATCCTTTTCCAATTGTCTTTCATATTTTTCAAGATGGTGTGTTTGCACCACCAACCAGTTCCCAGATATTCCCATAGATATTTCCATAGATATTCCCACATATTTCCATAGATATTCCCATATATATATATATTCCCATATAGCTATCCATAGATCTTCACATATTTTCCCACATTATGATTCCCATACGTTGCCCTTAACACCTTGCGCCCCATAACCCGCCCAGATGGGGGTCTGGTGCGGCTCCGGAATGCCCAGCTACAGCGGCTGCGCTATGCGGTGGAAATGCCGCGGGCGGAAGGACTGGACGTGGCAGGTGCGGTGCCGGGGACATGGCAATTTTCTATCAGAAATCATGGGAAAATTGTGGGAAAATGAATGAAAATGATGGGAAAATCATGGGAAAATGATGGGAAAATTGTTGGAAAAGGTTGGGAACATGGAATCTATTCCTGTTTTTGCAGGAACATTGATGATTTACAAGTGCGCGGAATGAGGTATTACACTATGTTTGGACCAACCGGAATTGCGATTTTTGATTGGCATAGCCTCAAAGGTTTCGACCCATCCCCCACTTAGGGTCACGGCTCACCTCTTCCTGGCAGATTCGGTGCTGGAAGATGTCAGCGAATTGGCCTTTTCCTGCCTGGAACTTAGACATTACAGCTGGTCAGGGAAGGGAATGTGTCTTCAAATAAAGGATTTACATTTACATGGATTTTGCAATGGTAGGTGCTGTAAAATGAGGCTTTTAACCAGTGGAAAATTGGTGCCATAGCACTAGAGAGTGAATAGTGGTTTGCACGTATAGTCCGTATAGTCAGTATGTATTGTAGATATGCATGCGCACAAGTGTTGAAGGAGGTAACGCATGTGGTATGTCCATATTATAGATGTAGAAATCTGACTTGAGTAGATTATGATTAAAGATCAAGAGTTTGGGGTTCTCATTCCAAGTCCATCCCAGGGTAGTTTCGAGCCTAGGCACCCAATGACCACTGGTGGTCATTTCCGTGAGTGACCACAGATTGAAAGTCCCCCAGGGATTCCCCATGGTTCTCCATTGTTCTCTCATTCACCACGGAATTGCAATACAGTGTAGAACCACCATGATTTTCCTAGTGCTTTTATGTTTTTATGTTGAATTTGGGTGGCACTTAAATCTCCATCGTTGTGAGTGGAATCACATCCGAATCTCTAACTGTACGTTTCGAGGATGTGAAAAAATCCATAAATCGTCATCATCTTCATGGTGAATTTTTTAGGGTGAAACCATTACCCATGACGGATCCATGGTGCTGGTATATGCTAGCATAAAGGGGGTATATTGATGGGATCCATGGCACACCATCCGCCAGGAAAATCCCAGGAATTTCCCGAAAAACTCCCCGGTTCTTCTCGGCGTCGCTGCAGGTGGCACCTGTCAACACCTGGCGCTGCGGCGCATCGTGGCCCGCAGAGTGGGCGCCCTGCTGCGGGCGGCGGAACTGAAGAAGTGGAGCCTGCAAGATGTGCAGGCGATACGATGGGGATGAAACGTTGAGGTCGAAGGTTTGGGATTTCATTGGGATACCCGGCCCGGTTATGTCAAAATAGCTACTGAACATGGCCCATAGAAGCCCATAGAAATAGTTGATTTACCTATTAGAGATGGTGATTTTCCATAGCAAACTGTAGACGTTTACCAGGCCGGGTGGGATTTAATGAGATCCAAGGGGTTCAACGGATAGGTTCGATGGTCTTTTTCGATGGGTTTTTCGATGGGATTCAATGGGATAGGGCTAAGACAACTTGTGCGATAGGACTCATGCGGATAGGACTTAATGGGATGTATAAATAGATTTGTAAACGGGCTGAAAAATTGCAGATCAAAGGATATTGAATGGGATGTATAAATCAAAACAATACATCATAATAGCATATTTGGGTTTATAATGGTTCATATTTAAGTATACCCTATGAGCAGCAGGTGATGTCCTATACTATTTATATTGTTCTGCCGATACTTTGATGATAGGATGTGGTTTGTGTTCATAAACCAACCAACACGATGATGTACTAGTGATTCAACTGAGATACGATCAATGGTGAGGATGGGATGTGGGCCAGGATGTCCGCGGAATAACTAGTTGGCCATAAAAGGCCATCATAAACATCCCCTTCAGATGGTTGTGCTCAATACTTAGTTTGGTGGGACATTCCTTGTCCCACACTTCGCAGAGCTTGTCGAACATCTATGTAAGGTAGTTCGTAGGATTTGTTTTAATGGATGTTTTTTGTTATTTTGCCAAGAAAAACGACAAAACAGGGGGAATTGAAGAAGAAAGGCAGGGATTTGGCACGCTGCCTTCAACACGGTGGTTGTCACCAGAAGTTGAGGCTATCTACTGATGGCAGAAAATGGCTATCTACTGATGGTTGGTGATATGATCACCACAATTGGTATGTATGATACTCGTTGTTGTCATTGCACTGATGCACTGATGATACTGATGGTGATTTGGGTAGCCAAATGTAGCTAACCAGATACACATACTGGCAACCCCCGGCAAAAACATGCAAAAACTGACTGGTGGTTTCAAACATTGTTTTATTTTCCATAATATATGGAATAATCCTTCCCATTGAAGAACTCCATCATTTTTCAAGATGGTTATTGCACCACCAACCAGAAAATCCACGATCTTCCCATATTTTCCCATAGATATTTCCATAGATATTAATATATATATATAGCTATCCATAGTGTTGCTGGTTTGATCAGTTCTGTCCCCAAAAGTCAAGTCACCGCTTCGTCACCGTGCCAGGCGCGCTGCTCCCAGCGGAGTCAAGTTGCTTGCGTCCCTGGGATCCCTGGGATCCGGAGCGGGACTGGAGATCCGGAGGTGATGTCATGGCTTTGGAATCCCCAGGTCCCCAGGGTCCCCAGGTAGGTCCATGTCAGCCCTTGTTTCATACCGAATCAACCAGGGTCCCAGGGTCTTGGTCACGGCGAGCCAATAGAGCCATCTGGTTTTCTATGTTTGTTTCTTTGGAAATAACATGAAATGACCACATATTTCATCATAAAATGTGTTCCACAATTGTTTTTCCCATCAAACCAGACCAAATTGAATATCAAGTGATGACCAATTTTTGATCAGTGAACACATGAATCACTTGGAAATTCAGAATGTCTATTCTGTAGGCTCGTAGGTCCGTAGGTTCATCAAAGATGTTGGTCTGTGCGCACGACTTAGGTCCAGCTTGCCTCTGCGTTTCCGGGCTGCACAAGACTCATTGCATTTGGCAATCCCCTCCATTACTGAACTGTTAGGATATGGCCTTGATGCTTGTGTAATTTTCCCGTGATTTTCCCATGTTTTTGCCTTGATTTTCCATGATTTTGCAATGATTTTCCCATGTGTTTGCCTTGATGTTCCCATGATTGTGCAATAATTTTGCAATGATTTACCCATGTGTTTGCCTTGATTTTGCCATGAATTTCCAGTGATTTTCCAATGATTTTTCCATGTTTTTTCCATGATTTTGCCATGTTCCAAGCCAAAGGCTATCTATCTCCGCCTGGGTCCGAGGCTGGTCTTTCTGGACCCAGAGCCCTGGCGCTTGGAGAACATTTCTCTGGAAGCGGAGGACGATCACCATCATTTCATGGAGATGTTTCCCATGTTTCCCATGTTTTCCCATTTTTCCCCCCATGAGTTGATCCATTGTCCAAAATTGATGTCCAAAGATGTCCAAAACATATATATATATATATATTACAATGTTTGCTACCATTTTGAAAATGGAAAAACTCCATCATTTCACATGAATGATTTTCTACCAGACATGGGGATAAGTGGGGTTAAAGCAACATGTCATGATGGGACGGTTTGTGAGACTGGCAGCGCGGTAGTGTAGTTTTTGCTCGTGCGCTTGTCTGACCGTGCCAATGTTCCCAGAAAGTGCTAGGGCAAGACATGGCCTGTGCATAAAACAGTTGGTGCCGGGGTGTCGATTCTTTCTTCGCTTTGTGGTTTCATGCTTTGGTTGGAACAAGCACCAGTCAAACTTGAGGGTCCCCGCACATGGTTTCCGGCTTTTCCAAAAGCCTGGCCAGAACGTGAGCTCCGACGTGGCCCCGGTCTTGCTGGATGTGGAAGGGCCCAAGGCGGCTTCGCTTCGCGCCCTCAGCAATAGTGGGATCAAAGGTGTGAAAAACTGTGAAGATGATGTACCCTCTGGTAATTTAACATAGCTATGGAAAATGGCCATTTATAGTGAGTTTTCCCATTAAAAATGGTGATTTTCCATTGCTATGTTAGTTTAGCAGAGGGTATGATAAGCAACCCCCAAAAAGATAGAACCATAGCATCCATGTAAATTCATATTCTTGTGTGATCACCTCGATTTAGCAGAAGCACCCCCCGACAAAAGATCGAAAATCACAAATCCATTTAAATCCTACATACAATATCTGTTATATACAATATACAATGGTGATAAATTACTGGTGTTATTACTGGTGATATATCCATGTAAATGGTGATAAATTCCTGTTCTCTCTTTGTGGCACAAATTAACGGCTCCACCGGCAGGTGAGAGGTAGCCACATCACAGTGAGCGCCACGTGTCCAGCAGGCGCCTGAAGATGGTGGGTGGTTCACCCCAGTGAGCATTGTCAAAAACCTGGTAGAAAATAGGCTATAGTCCCCATTAACCCAATCATATTGGGATCATTACACAAAACCATTAAGCTAGATTTTTGACATGGCAGTGGAATATATTCCATGATATTTTTTGGGCTCTAAATCAGGTAACCTTGAGGTTTCAAATCCATTGGATAGGGCACATGATTTTCAAATAAACCCCATTTGGAGATGAAACAAGCCCATCAACGTCTCAGAAGACAGACATGTCTTGTTTAGGTTTTTCCTGATGAAAGATCTTAATTAATAATGCAACAGGAAAACCATTATAGATCATATGGTGTTTAATCATTTTAACATTTTTTGTTTTACTAAGATGATGAAAGACCATATGATCATAATCAATAATCCAATGAGTCCAAAAAAGATCTTCAACAATCCACAATAGGGAAGTGAAAGATGATGAAAGTTTAGAAGTTATGGATCCTTCGGAAACTCGCAGATGGCATGAGCGGTCCTATCGTTGGGGGGCAACGACCGAGAGATTCCTTGAAGATGGAGTCAGCCTTCCAGGGGCTCACAGTCCCATAGTCATTGCCGAGAAAACGATCGCATGTAAATCTACTTCAAGCGCTCCTAGGATCCCATGAAAATCTCTGCTTTTTGATACTTGCCAAGTTCGATTCGGTACCAAAAAGTTCCGTCAAAAACCCGGGTGTGTGTGTTTTTGCCATGCTTTTGAGACATCAAACCACAGGGCAGTGAAGTGGGTGACACTAACTCTTATGTCCTCACAAACTACTGCGAGGACAGGCGAGGCAACGAGGTAGACAAGTCCACATTAACGATGCAAGCGACGAGGTGAACAACAAAGATTTAAGGTACCAGTGAGGGGATGTAGTGAACATTGTGGCCAGAGATTGAAGATGGACAGCCCACTCAAGCCAGGTGCACGGGATGTGTCAGCACACATGCAAATTGAAAAAGAACAACTTCCTGGCACGAGAAAAGTTGTGTTTTGATTCTTTCGGCTTTCTTCTCGCGGAGAAGGAGCAAAGACATTCGATTCCAGGCATTTGCGAGGTTATTTTCTGGCAGTTGGGAAAAAAACATCACTGCCAGAAAAGTGTTTGTTTTTTTTCTTGGCCTTTGTTTGCAGGCTCAATGGACATGGCTATCCCCAAAAAAAACACGGCCCCAAAAGTTGTGTTTTTCCATTTTTGGATGTTTCAAAATGTGCTATATGTATGCTCAAGTAGAACTAACAAGGCAAGGCCATTATTGCCCCTCGGTATGTAACAAGACGAGGTGCTAAATCCAAAGTTCACATTAAAGCCACGAGGCAGACGCGGCAAGAAATAGTAGGTTTCCCAGTTATATTCCCAGCATTAAGCCAAGTTCTCGCAAAGCCCATGCTCTGGCGGCGACCAGGTAGCTTCTCATTTACACAAGTTGCTTGGCGCTGTATGGTCCTCTCAGGTGAGAGTTGGTGCTGATACAGTCAGGGTGTTACTCTTTGCGGGACTCGGATAGCCCTGAAAAGAGCCAGTGAGCAAGGTTTCTTCAGAGAATGCGGTTACGGATGTTACGGACTGTCTACATCTGATTCATCTCATTTACTCAACACTTGTAATCCACATACCCATGAGATCCATGGTGCTGGTATATTTATGCTAACATAAAGGGGGTATATTGATGGGATCCATGGCACACCATATATAGCAGCACCATGGATCCGTCATGGGATATATTTCACATCTGTTCTTCAGCAAATGATCATAACTTAATAACTGATCCCTAGGAATCTGGCAGCAGCATCTCCAAAACCGCGGAGTTGATGGCCATGTTCGAGATGATGAGAGGTGCCCTCCTGGGGCCTCCAACCCAAGAATCGATGCGAACTTCTCCCAGCTGATGGTCATTTGTGAAAATTTCTTCGATAAGTGCTTGGACTTCATTATGGATACTAAAGGTGCTTGGACTTAGGAATCTTAGGATTTTGGTATAGTCATAAGTTCTAAAATGTTCAGATTTAGTATCCAAACTTATTCAGATTTAGGTTCTTCAATCACAGCCAACACTTGACACTTAATTCCCTGTTGCTGGTGGATCAACTTGCCTGGACCTCGGAGAAATTCACCATGCAACTGGATGTCATGGTTGAAAACATCCATCTATCTGGGTAAATTATAAGGGGAATCATCCCCAAATGGCCGAACGATTCAGGTTAGTGAAATATTGTAATTTACCCAGATCTATGTCCATTTATGATACAGCCCACGAAATAATGGTATAGATAAATAGAGATCTTACTTGGGGGTCTCTTGAAGGGATCTTGCGTGGAGATCTCTTATAGACACCTTGTACAAATAGCTTTTCAGACGCATGTTGGACAGCAGCCTCTTCAGAGATTGCACACTATCTTCTACAGAGATCTTCACAATGGAACTTTCAGAATCAAACCTGCTATCTCTTCCTCGTGCTCCTTGCAACACTGTTTGGGGTCTCTTGCCGGGATCATATTTTAAGTCCCAGCTTTGTTCGCACAGTTTTTCCTGCTGAAATGTCATTCGTGCTGGTAGGCTTCCTATTTACTCTTTTATTGACAGTTGAGTCAGCATATCCCCATTAATTTCCCATTCATTGATGATCACATCACCATTCCTGCGAGTTTTTGTCGTTTTCAAGCCGGGGATACCCGGGCCCCAATACACAGGTTGAATCCAGGTCGGGACTTGCTGGGATTATTGTAGAAACAATGAGGGAGTCATTGAATTTTTCATGACCATTGCGTTATGTTTTTTTGGATGCTTCCTCCAATCCTCATTATCATGATGGTTTCAAACATGTTTTATTTTCCATCATATATGGGATAATCCTTCCCATTGACTTTCATATTTTTCAGGATGGTTAGTCGACCACCAACCAGTCATTATCATTGATGAAATTCTGCAATCCTTTCGCTCAAATCCTGGAAAACTCCATGTTTCTCTTGGTTGAATCACCATCTCTGCTGCTAACAAAAACTATTTCTTGCTGGTGAAATCACCATGCCTGTTGGTTAAACCATCTAAAACCCTTCTATTATCGGTAGAATCCGCATGAATCCGCCATTTCCGCTGGTCAGACTCTGATTTACATAGCTCAAATCGATTCAAATCCAGCACTTCTGCTACTGAAATCCCTATTTGTGGATGGCTAAAGACTCCTTGAACCAAGGCGCGTCCCCGTTGTGCCAGGCGCCGAATCGCCCGCCGAGAACGGCCTGGCCGCCGGCCCGACGTGTTGCGCCTCCACGCGGACCCTGCCGCGGACGCAACGCTTCCTGAAACGATGCTGGGACGCAACGGCGTGCTGAGAAATGCTGGGAGATCATGGGGATAGAATGAAATATACCATTTGGTAAACTAACGTAGCTATTGAAAATTGCCATTTATAGATTTTATAGTGGATTTTCCCATTACAAATGATGATTTTCCATTGTTATGTTAGTTCACCGGAGGGTACATGAATATGTGGTTATATGTGGTTATATGTTATGGAATGGATATTCATTATGGATACTTTATGCACATATAATTTATTTTGCTTATTGATCTGGAATTGGAATAAGATTCATCATCAAGATTTTAAATGATTTTATAATGTTCTATATAATTATATATTTATATATATTTGGATACACATACCATGATAATTTAGATATGCACATGAATTGATATATATATATATATATGAGAGTATCATGCGTACTGTGTATAGGTGGTACTCACATCTTGCCCACCATGCGTAACGGGATGTTTTTTTTCTGAATAATCCCTATAGGTCTCTCCTAGGGCTTGGGATTTTGGGCGCCCGGCGCCAACATGATGACGATGCATTAATGGATTATGTACCATCGTAATTAACATGGGTAATACGTATAATGGATTGCCAAATTTACCATGTTTTTAAATTTGTTTTTTGCCAAATTTACCCTAAAGATGGATTGTTACTATTAAGCCTGATTCACCATGATGATTAACAATGATAATGATGACAATTTACCATTAACTCACCATAGTATCAACCATTAATATTAACCATCACTAACCATTTTTAGGCACAACGCACCACCAGCGCCTCAGCGGGGGCATCAACAAGTCTTCCAAGTCGACAAGGATCCAGTGTTCTGAAGTTCTGGCTGACAGGCTGCGGGCACAAGCTTCACTTGAAATCCTGGTTTTGTTATAACTAGTTATGGAAGTTATGTTAGTTACTAACTTGTTACCCATGTTTTTTTTGCATGTTCCCTTGTTTGAACATTTGAGGCTTGAAAACAGTTCGAAAAGGACAATGCCAAATCTTAAATCATCTGTGCACGTATGGGGATTTGTCCATTACCAGGTTACATTGTCAGAGGAAGGTGGAGATTTTCACGTCATTTGGCGATTATCTGGTGGTGATTTGTCCTTTTCACTCGCGGAATTCCTGGAAAATTGGAATTTTCCATGGGCATTTCACCACGAGAAATGGGCATTTCACTAGCCAGTCAAGAGATCTGAAATGCAGTTAATATACCCTCTGGTTATTTAACATAGCCATGGAAAATGGCCCATTTATAGATGATTTTCCCATTAAAACCTCCATTTATTAGGGATTTTCCATGGCTATGTTAAATAACCAGATGGTAACCTGATTTTGACAAGCTAAGATTATATCAGCAGGACCTTGAACCCGAAACAAGTGCGATCAAAAGCCACAGTCTACGAGAGGTGGATAAACAATCAATAGGCTGTGAAGCATTTAGATCTAATTTGATGATAGATCATACCAGCCACAGCTCCATGGTAAATTATCAACATGATACTGTAAGGTTCAGTTTGTTCTTGCCCCAGGAACCTTTGACTTTGACTTTGGCATCATCCCAGACATGAACATCTCCTGCGATCCAGCAACGTATCCCTGTGCCGATCTCAGCAACGGGCTGAAGACTGTGGTGCTACCACATCACAACAACCACAACAACAACAACACCAACACATGTGTTTTGTCAAATACGGGTTCGTGGTTCCTTATTGTTCACATAGATTCCACATTCGTTGTGTTTTAGTGGCGAGAAACCCCATGAAACCTGAGGCGTGTGCACCACGAACATCTGCGACCGTCAAATACTGAAGACCTACTTGGTCTCAACCCGCCAGGGGCCACACAAACCGCTCAGCTTCGGGGGCTGCGGTGGTGGCTATAAGGTGGTGCCCCATCGTTAACTAAGTTGGTTTATAAAGTTTATAAGTCCAATAACTATGGTCTATCGTAGATATATGATATATCTATACTTGCTATGGTTTATAAACCAATGTTTTGGAAGTTGATGAGAATCACTTGGAAAGATTTAACAGGTACTGAATGATGCTTAAAAAACAGAATAGACTAGGGCATGGGGCGTGGGAAACCCTATTCCAGGAGCGGCAACCTTGGCTGAAAGGATGTCCAGCCCTGACAAGACCATGATGTCTGCAACATTATAATATATACCATCTGGTTATTTAACAAAGCCATGGAAAATGGCCCATGTATAGATGGTTTACCTATTAAAAATGGTGATTGTCCATGGCTATGTTAAATAACCAGATGGTAATATATATATATATAGGCACTGTATTTACAATACACCATAGTTATATTTATATCTCGGATATATGCCCATGACACCGCAATTTTGTTTCTTGAATCGCTTGAACCCCTCATCGCGTCCTAGTTCTGGTCTCCTCTCCATGGCCCAGGTGTGAGCTGCATGTCATGTCCCATGGGACAGTACTCCTTGACGCCGTATACGCGCGCGCTGACGGGCGATGACTCAGGCATCCTCCGGTCATCCTGGGTTTGTTTAGTCGGTGATTTGGCTCATTTGGCTCATTTGGCTCATTTGGCTCATTTTCCCAATGGAAAATCCACCATTTTCCTGGGGAATCTAACATGACTGGGGAATCTATACATTGTGAGCCCCCCAAACGATAGCTAAGTTGCTGAACATAACTCCCATTTCACTATGGTTTATGATACCTAGAAAACAAACTAGTATTCATGGGGTTTATAAACCAACATTCACATCACTGGGGGGGCTGAACATTTGTTAATTTTGGGGGACGGTGAAGATGATCCCTTTATGGATGATTCACCCAATGTTCGAATGTGACCAGCAACAAGTGGGGGGTTCAACCAACAGAAACAGAAGGTCTGGACAAACAAAACACAGGGATTGGACTAACAACATAGAAAGTATGCGTGATTGCTTCATATTGCCAACGAAATTGCAGGCAAATACTTGTAGAGTCCTACGGACTTTTAACGTATGTTTCCCGTGGGCGAAACCAGGGCTATGCGGCGACAAGTGACAATGGCGATGATACTCCTTAGCTGCGGCCCAGGTTGCCACTATCAATCGCTCGTGTAACATGTTACAATTTACAATGAGATATATACTGTAAAATGAAATTGATTATTCTTGATATACGTTGTACAGCATGCATTTGGGATATAATTTACGGTAAAATGTGGTAAGCCGAATGCTATAAACATACCAGTTGGAGACTTTAGCAACCATTTACGGCCATATTTAGGAATTTTGTATATTTTTGTATTGCCTTGGGTGAATTCCACATGACTGTAGAAGGAGTTTTTATCACATCAGTTTTATATAGTTTTCCTATCATGAATTATAAGTCACCGACTTACTGAAGTGAATCAACATATCTATTTTATTCATCACACTTTCATCACTTTTCCACCTGGTTCCCCTTGATTTCCCTCGTTTTTTCCGGCGGCGAGCCGCAGGTTTGCTGGGCTCGTGCCTGGACCGGAAAGCCTGGGGCGGTATCCCCAAAAAAAGGTCATTGAACCACCATTACCCTCTGGTTATGTCAAAATAGCTATGGAAAATGGCCATAGGAATAGTGAGTTTTCCCATGAACAATGGTGATTTTCCAGTTCGTGATTGAAACGCTTACCCTCTGCTTATTTAACGTAGCGAACTGGAAAATCATCATGTTCAATTGGTAAATGATCATGTTCATCATCTATAAACGGGCCATTTTCCATAGCTATGTTAAATAACAAGAGGGTAAATCTAAAACATGGAAACCCATAATAGAAACATTAAACATCATTAAACCATCTAGAATCCATGTATTCGACTCATAAACCATTTAGAAGCTACATATGAAAAAAAACAGTTCACGGTGTGATTTAACGCCATTTATAACCTATCTAATGCCCAGTTGTAACCCATCTATAACCCAATGATGATCTACTTAGAATCCATCATATTTTGCTCTGGCCCATGTCATGCCCATCTACGCGCAGAGGTCCGGTAGCGTATTGGAAGGCGACTGCTTGAGCTGCGCGGACGTGGTCACGCAGGCGACGACTCGGGCTGTGGGAAACCCTGGCCGCCACAGACCTTCCATGACTGGGATCTACTTGTTTGGATATTAAGGATGATTTCTATGGCCTTGTGTTTACCACATCACATGTGTGTATACGTATAGTTCAACCATATCACTGGGATGTTTTTTTCTCCCAAGATAATATTTGAGGATTGGTCCAGAGCAGTTTATGTCTTTGAAAAGCGAAGACTGCCTTTTTTGTTGATGATTTACTATGATTTACCAATGTGTTTCTTGAAGATCAAAATTACTAATCATCATCATCATTATTATTATTTACTAATATTTACTATGACTTACCAATGATTTACTATGATTTATCATAATTTGGGGTTACCTTGATATACTCATCACTAACTCATCACCTTGATTGGAAGACCAGGTGGGCAAGATGCCGAACTGTGCTGGGCGATGCTTGGCGTAAGAGGTATGTGTTCCATCCATAAATCTAGGAAGCTCAATATCATCTTGCGTAGAAAGTATCATGTAAATCTATAAAATCTAGAAACCATGATAGTGAATCTTGTCAAATTATGGTATGCATATCTATTTATAGATGAGGATGTCCTAAAATGAGGGGTACCCCAGAATGGATGGTTGATAATGGAACATCCTGGGGGAGCGAGGAAGTGTTCGAGTGCCTCGAGGGCTGATGGCGCTGAGAGGTGCGGCCCCATAGCTGTTGGGCGAAAACTTTCCTGCAGATGTTCTGAATAGATCTGAATAGTGGTAAGATGTGGTAAGGTACTGGTTAACAAGTGGCTTATAACTAACTCATACGAAACACCTAGTTGAAAGGGGATGCATAACCACTCAGATACGATCCCACTGAAGCGTGCGTGAATCAGCTATGAGGAGGCTCATGATCGTTGCGGACAACGTGGTGAAGATCCTTTTGTCATGATGGTTCAAACATGTAGACCACGATGTGTTGACTGTTTATAACCATCATTTAAATATGATAAACCATTGATCATCATTTTTTGACATATTTTGATGGTTTGAAACCATCACAACATGTTTTTGAACCCAAGATTTCATAACCCACTTCCCCCAGCCAACACTGCAGGTAACACCAGGCATGGCCTGCGCTTCTACCGCTGTCCCAATGCGGGGGCCTGCCCCGGAGGCGTCTGGTGGTAGCGACCAAAACTTGGGGTGTGTTGGTTTGTATATGGAGGATACATTCTCTGGTTGGTGGTGACTGGAACATGGCTGGATGATTTTTCATTTTTCCATATGGGAATGTCGTAATCCCAACTGATGAGTTGTCCATCATTTTTCAGAGGGGTTTTTGTCAACCACCAACCAGGATATATGTATATATCCATTAACCACCATTAACCACCATTAACCACCATTAACCACCATTAACCACCATTAACCACCACATTAACCACCCTTGGGGTAAGTCAACCACCAACCAGACATACTTGGGATGTGAATCTTGGCAAATGACGTCGTTTCTGGTGTCGTTCTTTTCGGGTGTATGAATACACCCATCAACTCATAGTATCGCTATGGTATGTCGGTTGTCATGAGAAATATAATAAACGATTATAGATACCATAAATATACCATAATTAGTTTACTATAAATATATTATACACTATAGTAAACTAATATAAACTATAGTGTAGATACCTAACCGATTGATTTTGAGGTACCATTGGACACAGCCATGTTGACTCGTGCCAGGAGATATGGTGGTCGCTGACAACCTCACGCAAAACCAACGTTGCGTTGGAAGACTCAGAGGGTGGACAACTTGTCATCCCAATGCAGAAGTGGGACCCCAACAGTGGGAGTTTTACCAACCAAAATATGGGAGTTTAAGCAACCAAAATGTCGGTTTGGTATGGTTTTAAGCCATATTACAAAACAGAAGTTGTGATTTTTCACCAACCAAAATGGTGGTATTTAACAAGACATTGTGTTAATATTGGGTAATATTCTTTTGCCCAGCCAGTTTCCGGTGAAGATCTTCCCAACAATAGCAACCCGTGGATCTTATGGGAAGGTTTCGTTTTAGAACGCGGGATAATACTCAATTTGAAACGCGACTTTATTACTCATGTTGAAACGCGACACACTCTGTGCCATGGTTTCCATGGTTTCTATTTTTCTCTGCGGTTTTCCATGGTTTTTATGGTTTCCATGATATCTGTGTGGTTTCCATGGTTTCCATGGTTTCCATACTTTCTTTGCGGTTTCCATGGTTTTTGTGGTTTCCATGATCTCTTTGCGGTTTCCATGGTTTCCATGGTTTCCATGATTTCTTTGCGGTTTCCATGGTTTCCATGGTTTCCATGATTTGTCTGCGGTTTCCATGGTTTTCATGATTTCTTCTTGCGGTTTCCATGGTTTCCATGGTTTCCATGGTTTCCATGATGCCTGTGCGGTTTCCATGGTTTCCATGATTTCTTGGCGGTTTCCATGGTTTCCATGATTTGTCTGCGGTTTCCATGGTTTCCATGATCTCTTTGCGGTCTCCATGGTTTCCATGGTTTCCATGATTTGTCTGCGGTTTCCATGGTTTCCATGGTTTCCATGATTTGTCTGCGGTTTCCATGGTTTTCATGATTTCTTTGCGGTTTCCATGGTTTCCATGGTTTCCACGGTTTCCATGATTTCTTTGCGGTTTCCATGGTTTCCATGGTTTCCATGATTTGTCTGCGGTTTCCATGGTTTCCCTGTTGTCCAAGATTTCTGTACGGTTTTCATAGTTTGCACGGTTTCCATGGTTTCTGTGTTTCCTGAAGCCTCCCAATGCCAACAAGTGAACCGTCCTGGAACCCTGAACAGCAACTGAGATCCCGACCCCAACCGGAAAAGAAATGTTTCAACCCAAAAAACAAAACCAAGTTTCCCCAAAACTCCAAGCAGCCACCTCGCTGCTAGCTGACGCACCTTTGTGCCGCTTGACATCTAAAAGGCTTCGGTCCGGCCCAGATGCAGGTTCTTCAGGATTCCTAGACAACACCCGGTGAGTTGAAGTCTGGACAACACCCGGTGGGTGGAAGTCAAAGCAAAAGTGGAAGTATTTCCATTTGAGAATTGGGTAAATAGGGATGCATGGAATTCTTACACGCACTCCCCCTATGTGATCAGTTCCACTGACCACATATTCAGCTCAAGCCCTCTAAACAAGTCATAACAAGTCTATCATCTGCAGTGCAGCAAATCGCACATGGATTGAAGGCCCGAAGTGGACCATTGGATCCCGCATCACGACAATGCTCATAATCAACATGAAGTGCATATCCATGTGAGATCGCATACAGCCTATGTTGGGGAACGTCTGGCTGTGGGCCACATCTGTGACATCGTGGCGTCAGACAAACTTCCTTGGCATGTCTAAGACCATGACATTCACGGTCACAGTGGTATCTTCCACCAAATGGCGTGGTGAAAAGGGGTTTTGGTCCTCTTTGGGAACGATCGGGAGAAGCATCAAAAAAAATAAAAATGCATCAAAAAAAAATAAAGATGCATCAAAACAAATATAAATGCATCAAACAAAAAATAAATGACCATGAAGAAAGGGGGGAAGGAGGAAAGGAGGGAAGGAGGAAAGGAGGGAAGAAAGGAAGGAGGGAAGGAGGGAAGGAAGGAAGGAAGGAGGGAAGGAGGAAAGGAGGGAAGGAGGAAAGGAGTGAAGGAGGGAAGGAGGAAAGGAGAAAAGGAGGGAAGGAAGGAAGGAAGGAAGGCAGGCAGGCAGGCAGGAAGGAAGGAAGGAAGGAAGGAAGAAAGGAAATAAGGAGGGAAGGAGGAAAGGAGGAAAGGAGGGAAGGAAGGAAGAGTAGCGAGGCCCGAAGGAGGGATATTTGTTGAAGGAAAAGGCCCCAAGGACCGGGGAAGGAGGGGCACCCCAAGGAGGAAAGGAGGAAAGGAGGGAAGTTGGAAAGGAGGGAAGGAGGAAAGGAGGGAAGGAGGAAGGAGGGAAGGAGGGAAGGAGGGAAGGAGGGAAGGAGGGAAGGATGCAAGGGGGGAACGAAGGGAAGGAAGGAATGAAGGAAGGAAGGAAGGAAAGAAGGAAGGAAGGAAGGAAGGAATGAAGGAAGGAATGAAGGACCATGTGTGCAGTCAACCCTTATCATCGGTTATTTGCGTTCATTTCATCTTCATTGATCTCCATCGCGACTTGTGCCTATGTACTTCTTTCATGTTCTTTCTTGGTACGCATTGCAGGGGACCCCCCCACCCGCTTTTCTTTTTTCATCGGCTTCCCTTGCTACCTACTCTCTTGCCTTTTGCTCATAAGCATCGTTTCTTAGGGTTCATTTTCTCTTTCTTCTTCTTTCAAAATATCCATCGAGACTTGTGCCTATGTGCTTCTTTCTTGATCTTCTCGTTCTTACTTGCAAAAATCCATTGAGACT